CCCCAAAACCCCAAAACCCCAAAACCCCAAAACCCCTCTCAGATATAAAATATGTGAATCACTTTAAATATAATTTATTTTAATGTCTCGACAAGGGAATTTACCCAAGAATAAGCAAGAGTGTGGGTCACTAGAGAAGCACAAAAATGGACTCAGTCCTAATAAATGGTTCCAAAAAAATGCTAAACCACATAAAACTAACAAAGACTATGTCCTTTTCAAAATAAACTGCGACAATGTTGATAAAAATGTGATGATAGAAAGACAGAATATAGACCTAAAATTTCTAAAATAAGCAAGGAAGACAACTATACCGCATCGAAAATGATCAAGAGTTTTCATTTGCTTACCATCCTTGGCGGTCAGAAGTCGCCCCAGAGATTGGGTATATCATAAAAGACAATAAGATGCTGAATAAAATATTTCATGTTTATGGAAGTAAGAAAACTCAAGAAACTGCTACTATAATCCTTCATATTGTCTTCAAAGAGCAGTATCATATTTATGAAGAAAAATAGCCCATTTGGGTTGGCCAAACAATCTTCTGGTAGAAGAAGCCACTTCCAAAACATTGATGTGGCTAATTACAGCAGCAAAGGTATGAACAGAGATAGCCTGAAAAACAGCAAGAAGATAAAAAGCATCACTCCGGTCAAGAATATCCATTCAAAGGTTACAAAGACTTCTTGCTCAGTTGAGACGAAACCTAGCTTCTTTCGTGCAGAAAACCAAAGTGTACGACCTCCTAAGTCTATAAGTCGGAATAAGAGTAAAGGAGCTTTGGGGTATGATTCACAAAATTATGTATTTATCAAGACCAAAGATCGGCACCATTACGACCTTAATCCAAAGTTGCTCAAGTTTTTCCTCTCTGAGATGCTCAAAGATAATCACAACAAAGTTAAATTGTACCAAATCCAAAAGAAAATTAACAAGTCTGCGAAGGAGAAAGTGTTCAAGTTCGGCATGCAGCAGTATTTCAACGTCATGGATGAGATGGTTGAGATAGTTGAGAACACTCTCAAACAGCAGGATCAATACTTCAAGAGTTTAGCTAAAATATCAGCTATGAATAAAACTGAGATCAATATACCTCCTCTTAATCTTAACTTTAATCAGAAGAAAATGCTGCCATCTGAGAAAGATAATAATTGAAAGGCGATGATCCAGAGTAAAATGAAGGGGAGAAATACTTGTAATAAAGTAAAATTCCCTGTAAGTCTTCCATATTTTCAGTCTTTTCCATACCTAAAACGGTATTTACAGCGAAACCTTCTTGAAAAGACACTTTTCTCTTCACTGGTTTACCTTATGATAGGAGTATGGAAAGGAATCATCCCAGAAGGAGGTTAATAACCATGAAAACTCTAGTCTTCCTCGACTAGGCACCTCAGGTTTGTTCTGAAACATAATCTTTTTTAGAAATCAACGGAACTTTAGACTATGAGTCAAATAAAGCCATGGACAAACAACATTCTTTGTTAAATAATGATATAAATGATCCGAATACAAATAGCAGGAACTGATTCTTTAACCTCGACAATATACAGAAGAATATAGCAAATCGGACTAAAGAGGACACCAAGCTATAGCAGATAATTTCAGTAAGTGGGAGGTACTCATTTTTGGGTAAAACTATATTATCATCTTCCAATATCAACTCTGAAATAAGGGGTTTTGGGGTTTTGGGGTTTTGGGGTTTTGGGG